GTGGTCTTCTGAAACCAGGTCCAGACAGAGTGGGAGCAAGAGTGGAGCTGCCACGGAGAGATCCAGAAGCATGCCGAACCAATGCTGGCGCAGCCATGATGGTGCTATCAGAATAACTCTTGCCTTGTCCTGTTTGATTTTTAGGAGGACCTTGTGAACCAAGAGGATTGGGGGAAAGGTGTACAGGAGGTGGTTTATTCACAAGAGTAGAAAGGTGTTGGAAAGGGAGCCTGGGTTGTGTCTGCACAGTAAACAAAAATGATGGCATTTCCTTTTCTGCCTGGTGGTGAACAGGTCCACCTGGGGAGGCCCCCATCTTTGGAAGATGAATCTGGTAATCTGTGGGTGAAGAACCACTCGTGGTGGGAGGAGAAGGATCTGCTGAGGTGCTCCGTCAATATATTCCTGGCTCTTGGCAGATGTGATGTCTCGAGATGGAGTGCTTTGCGCAGAAGTCCCACAGACAGATGGCCTCCTGACCCAAGGCCAAAGATCAAGCCCCTCCCTGCTTGTTGATATAAAACATGGCTGCAATACTGTCTGTCAGGACTTGCACCACATCACCTGAGATCTGTGGGAGGAACACTTGGCATGTTAAGCATACCTCCCTGAGCAACCTGATGTTTATGTGCAGGGAGAATTCTTCTTGGGACCAGAGGCCCTGACTCCTGACATTGTTAAGGTGGGCACCCCACCCTAGGTCCGACATGTCTGAGATTAAGGTTACTGATGGTTGAGGGGTAACAAAGGGCACCCTCATCATCACTGATCTTGGGTCTTTCCACCAGTTTAGGGAGGCAAGGACCAGGGAGGGACCATGAGCACTGAGTCCAAGTGGTGTTTGCTCAGGGAGTAAACTGATGCTAACCACATCTGGAGGGGCCTGAGGCACAGCCTTGCATGCTGAACCACATAAGTACAAGCTACCGTGTGACCCAGAAGCTTGAGGCACATCCAAGCTGTCGTGATTGGGTGGGCCATGACCTTGGATATCAGGTCTGACATGGTCTGGAATTGGGTAGAGTTGAGCACTGTCCCAGTAAATTCTATTCTTTGAACCAGGACAGGAGTTGACTTCTGCTCATTTATCATCAGGCCCAGAGCTCTGAAGGTGGGGCTTCCGATAGGCCAAAGGGGAGGGCAGTCAATTGGTAGTGGTTTTGACTCACTACTAACCTGAGAAATCTTATGTGGCCATGGAAGATAGAACTGTGAAAGTATGTGTCCTTTAAGACCTGGGCAGTGTATCAGTCTCCTGGATCCAGGGAGGGAATGATGGAGGCCAGGGAGACCTTGGAAAACCTTAGTTTATTGAGATATCTGTTGAGGCGATGCAGGTCCAAGATGGGGAAGGCCTCCTTTGTCCTTTGGGATTAGGAAATACCGGGAGTAAAACCACTTCCCTCTCAAGTCTTGAGGAACTTTCTCCATGGCCCACATACGTAGGAGGGATTGCACCTCCTAGACGAGGATTTGCTTGTGAAAAGGTTCCCTGAGGAGGGAGGGGATGGGGGTGGAAGGGAAGTGCTCAGGACCCAATGGTCTGATGTTATGAATGACCATGCCAGGCTGAAGGGTAACAGATGGTCTAAAAATAAAAAGGGAGGTGAATCTCCAATGGTGACTGATACAGCACCCTCAGGTGCACCTTCAAAAGGCCTGCATGGGCCTGCCAGAGTATCTCTGAGATCCCGACTTGAAGGCTGATGTAGACGGAAGTGGTTGGCGCCATTTATAACCTCTCCCTTTTCTTTTGTAGGGCTTCCGTCTTGGAGGCCCTAAGAACTGAGGAGGCTACTGGGGCCTGAAGTGCTTCCTGGAAGCTGATGAGCAGAGGCCTAAGGAGCACATAGTGGCCCTCGAGTCCTTCAGGCCATGCAGTCTTATGTCCGTCTGCACTGAGAAAAGAGAGGAGTCTTAAAAGAGGAGTTCCTGGATGGATTGTTGGACCTTGTGAGGAAGGCTGGAGAATTGGAACCAAGAACAGTGCCTTGTGGTGACCTTGGAGGCCATTGTCCTGGCTGGCGAGTCGGCAGTGTTCAGAGTCGCCAGGAGAGAGGTTCTGGCTACATTCTTAACCTCTTCCAAGAGGGCTTTGAGCTCTTGCTTTGACTCTTGGGGCAGGGAGTCTTTGAATTCAGTCAGGGAGTCCCACAGATTAAAATCATATCTCCCCAGCAAAGCTTACTGGTTGGAGATACAGTAACTCCTCACTTAATGTTGTAGTTATGTTCCTGAAAAATGTGACTTTATGTGAAACAATGTTAAGCGAATCCAATTTCCTCATAAGAATTAATGTAAATGCGGGGGAAGAGAGGAGGTTAGATTCCGGGGAATTTTTTTTTTTCACCAGACAACAGACATTTTATACATATACAATATAAGTTTTAAACAATTTTAAATAACAGTTTAATATTGTACACAGCAATGAATGATTGTGAAGCTTGGTTGAGGTGGTGGAGTAAGAGGGTGGAATATTTCCCAGGGAATGCCTTGCTGCTAAATGATGAACTAGCACTTGGCTGAGCCCTCAAGGGTTAAAACGCTGTTAATGTAGCCTCACACACTACAGGGCAGCATAGGGAAGGGATAGCTCAGTGGTTTGAGAACTGGCCTACTAAACCCAGGGTTGTGAGTTCAATCCTGGAGGGGGCCATTTAGGGGTCAAGGACAAAAATCTGTCTGGGGATTGGTCCTGCTTTGAGCAGGGGGTTGGACTAGATGATCTCCTGAGGTCCCTTCCAACTATGATCTTCTATGATCTATGACTGAGGCAAGAAGGAGGAAACACAATAGATGCAGGGCAGATGCTGCAAACACTTCCCTGCAAAAACTGAACATGATGATGAGCCCATGCTATCCAGCTGGAGCGCACCACTCCCTCTTCCTGACAGCACATGCATGGCTGCAAAGGTGCTGACTTTCCAAAGTGCTGGGGGTGAGTGCATGAGTTTGAGAGAGAGACGTGCATTGCTCCTTTAAGTACGCTGACCCCACTTCAAGTACATTGCCCTTTTAAGCTGATCAGCCAGTTCAGACAGAAAACAACAGCTTCCAGCAAGCTCCCTGAGCCCTGTCCCCCTCCTCCACTTTGTGGAGAGGGAATACGGAGTGGGGGGCAGGAGCAGGGGGACATCCTTATATTAGCACCCCTCTCCCCCAGCAAGCAGGAAGCTCCTGGGAGCAGCTCCAAGACAGAGGGCAGGGCAGGAGCAGCATGGCAGTGGGGGGAGGGCCACCTGAACTGCTGGGCAGCTGCCGAGCCACACACCTTATAGGGAATTTAGGGGGGCTGATGGGGGGGGGGGGCTGCCGGCTCCTCCTGGTTCTAATCCCCACAAGGAGGGGCTGTTCTTCCAGAAAATCCTGCAAGGAGTAGACGAAGCAGGCAACTGCCAAACGATGTTATAAGGTAGCACTGCGCAACTTTAAACGAGCTTGTTCACTAATAGATCAGCAACGTAACAATGAAACAACCTTAACCAGGACAACGTTAAGTCAGGAGTTACTGTATGTAGTTAAGGCTACCTGTCTAATAAACGTTTCTTCCAAACAGGTCTAGTCTCTTAGCAGCTTTTTGTTTCAGGGTAGCACTTGACTGGCCCTGCCTGTCCTTTTTGCTTGTTGCAGATACCACCAGGGACACTGGGGGGTGGGGGGGGAGGGATCGGGAAGCTGGGATCAGGGAAGGTTTGCCCCTAGAAGGAGCTGAAAGGCCTGGAGCCGGTAAGGCGCCTGACGCTTCTTGTTCCCTCCTGCTTCCAGATGCTGGAGCTGACAGGCATCCCATTGGGGTTGGCAGGACTGGCAGGTCCGTAGCCAGCTGGAAAGCCGCTGGGCTCAATGACATTGTCAGACCGCTGGCACCATGGTGGCTTTCTGGTGTTGGCAGCGAGTCCTGCACAGGAGTCAAAGCCCTGGGCGGAGTTGATGCTGCCAACATGAGCCCAGAAGCAGAAGAGTGGCCCAGCACGGGTCTCACTATGCTTTCTTCCCCTCGCTTATCTCTCTTCTGCACCAGTGAGCGCCCTCTGTTGGTGTTCTGCTTCTCGTGCTTCTTCCTTGGCACCAGAGAATTGGTGAACGGTGCTGGGAAGAGCTCAGTGATGGGGGAGCGCTTCGCACTGACACCCAAGTATGCAGCGCTGAATTGGAGCAGCTTGGTTCTGAGACTGGTCCGAGGACAGCTTCCATGAGGAGAGTCTTCAGCCTGATGTCTCTGTCCTTTTTAGCAAGGGGTCTGAAGTCCCAACAGATCTAGCACTTCTTCCTCATGTGGGCTTTCCCCAAGCACTTCAAGCAGCTGGAGTGAGAGTCACTTATGGACATAGGTTTACCACAGGCGGCACAAGGCTTGAAGCATGCCAGGCCCTCGGGGCGAAGATGTCTTTCAACGATAGGAACTAACTATATACACTACCACTACTTGTAAAAACTATATACACAAAACTATATAACTATGATAACTACGAACCAAGGAGGAGTCCAAAAACCACTGGGAAGAAGCCTTGCTGCAACAAGAAGGGTCGTTCCAAGAAATATCATGGGCCGTAAGAAGGAACTGAGAGAGTGTGGGGACGGCCATGCCCCTTACACTGGCACATAAGCGTGTGGCTCCAGAGGGTACCAGAGTTGGCCTAAGGGATACCACTAAGGGAAAAATCTCTGGCAATGGTGCAGGCACACACCTACATGGAATGGACATGAGCAAGCACTTAAGTAAAAATACAGTTTCTTCTTCATGTGAAACCAAAAGGCTGTTGGTGAGTAAAGATGACAATAAGAAGAGAAATGTGTAAATCAGCTGAGTTATAAACCTTTGGAAAAGGGGGTTCAGCTACAAAAACTCTACTGTGAGTTACTGTGGGGAAAAAATCCACAATGACACACAGAGAACTGTCACTTATATTGATAAATTCTCCCTTAAACATTTCTGCACATTCCCCTGTATTAATGAGCTCCAGAAGTGCTTACCCAGCACTCATGGAGGAGTCTCTCACCTATTTCCTTGGCTTTGTTCCTGTCTGTCTCTGTGATGTTTCTCTCCATATCCATGCCACCTGTTAGCTGTTTCACTGTCTCTAGCATCTCTCGCCGTTGTTCTTCTTGTGCCTGATTGTCTAGCAGCAGCTCTTTATTGCTGCTACCCCGCAGGAAGGTGTTTGGACGGGTGACTGAAGATGGCAGTGGTTTGTCATTCTTCTCTCTGCCTGTGCTCCCACGACTAGAAAGTGAAAAAACATTCACATGGAAGGCTCTTATCCTCTTACTGCTAAAAATTAACACTGGACACATTTCCCATAACATTATAAAAACTGCTGGGTAGCTGTCTCTTATACAGTCTATTGGTTACAGAAAGATATTTTTAATACAGTTCAACTGTACAGACTGTGGTCAAAATGCAGCCTGTGGATCCTCTCACCTTTAAAACTGTGGTGTGGCCCTCAGATGCTTGATCCAAGTGATGAATGCATACATACATACATGCACAGAGGGGAGGGAGAGGGAGAGCATATGTGTCATAGTGCACATCTGAAACAAAACACCCCGAGGATATACCTCACTTCTGTAGGTTTAAAATAAAGGGAACTTTAATTTATTATTTTTTTTTTAATGGGAGATATCTTATCTCCTAGAACTGGAAGGGACCTTGAAAGGTCATCGAGTTCAGCCCCCTGCCTTCACTAGCAGGACCAAGTACTGATTTTGCCCCAGATCCCTAAGTGGCCCCCTCAAGGACTGAACTCACAACCCTGGGTTTAGCAGGCCAATACTCAAACCACTGAGCTATCCCTCCCCCCCAATGTTAAAGTAATGGCACCATTTCACTGTGAAGTTGGCTGACTGGTATATTCTTTACCTATAGATATATTGATATATAATTTCAAAATAGCAAAATGCTATCACTGGGATTTCTCACGGATAAGTCCTAAGAATTATGTTAACATTTTTATTAATTATTTGGAAAAAGGAAGATTATATTGATGTGGAAAAATCCCAGATCAAACAAAATTATTTACGACAGTCAAGATTAGAGAAGACTGTGGGGAACTTCAGAGGGACTTAGGTGAATGGACAGCCTGATGGCAGATGAAATTCATTGTTGACAAATGCGAAGTTACACACAGTGGAATGAATAATTGGTCAACTTTACATTAAGGGTACATTAAGGTAAACGGTTTATAACAAGTTAATAAATAATTAATAAATGCTATATGCACGTTACAGATATGAGCAGTATGTTTTATAGCTAGTTATAAACATAATGGTAGAAAGTGCCATACATAAGCAACCTACAGACACCTTCTATAACCTTCTACAAAAATTAACCATTTAAAAAACCTATTTTAATAATCTATTAACCCTACATAAACTATTGTAAAAGCTTTGTTAACCGGCATATTGGGGGATGAGGGATGCCAGTAAGTCAAAAATTCTGGTTAACTAAGAGGGAGGAAGTTCGAGTACAAGAGGGGGCTAAGGGTTGGGATGTGGGAGGGGTTTCAGGGTGCCGGATCTGGGCAGCACTCACCTCGGGCGGCTCCCCACAAGTGGCGACATGTCTGGAGAGGCATGGCCAGGCAGCTCTGCGTGCTGCCTCCGCCTGCAGGCACCACCCCCACAGCTCTGATTGGCCAAGATCAATGCTCCTAGGCGGAGGCGTGGCCAGGTGGCTCTGCACGCTGCCTCTGCCCGCCGGCACCACCCCCTCAGCTCCCATTGGCCACAGTCCCCAGCCAATGGGAGCTGCAGAACCAGTGCTCGGGCAGGGGCAACGCACGGAGCCCCTGTGGCCATTCCTCCGCTTAGGAGCACTGACTGCGGCCAATGGGAGCTGCGGGGGCGGTGCCTGTGGGCTGAAGTAGCATGCAGAGCTGCTTGGCCATGCCTCTCCAGATATGTCACTGCTTGCGGGGAGCCGCCCAAGGTGAGTGCCACCAGGATCTGGCACCCCGAAACCCCTCCTATACCCCAACCCCGAGTCCCCTCCCACACCAAAACTCCCTCCCAGAGCCCGTGTCCCGCACTGAGTCTCGAAATGCTGGTTTATAGAGCTTTCCGGTTTGTAAAATGCTGGAGAACACAGCTTTTCCTGTATTTATAAATGCACCCTTAACATAAAGTGTGACCTTTGGAACAAATGATACATATAGATGGTTCTAAATTAATTTTAACCACTCAGGAAAAAAGATCTGGGCATCACTGAGAGACAGCTCAATGACCACCTTTTCTCTATGTGCGGTGGCAATAAAAGTAGCAAATAAATGTTAGGATGCATAAATATTGGAATGACAAATACTATTGGCTGATTGAATCTTACCTAGTTAAGGCCCTGCGAGAGTCTAACTCTGAAGATACAGAAGAAGACACAGACGACACTGGGAGCTGCAGTGCAGAAAATCTGTTCAAACTAGTGGCACTTGGTCGTAAGGACTCTGCAAAAGATTGCAAAAGAAGATGTAGGGAACAGTGATAACATTGGATTATTAAGGACACAGTGCCACAAAATAATTTAAACAATCTTCCATTACTCCAGAGTTGATAATATGGAAAACCTGTGGAAAAGGGCTGGCTTGACTCCATTTTATTCTTGCTTCTCATTATTATCATGGCATGCAGGGCTCATTCCTAACTTAATGATTTTTTCTGACTCCTAACATTGAATGCATGCCTGATTCTCTTTCTTGGCTGGATTATCACAATGCTTTATTTACTGGATAAGGTGGGGTGCACGGATCTATTGGGATCCATAGGATGTATCTTGCATTCCACTCCATTAGCATTCCTGGATGGAAACTTGGGAAAACCAGAGAACTGCTAAGAGTTTTGGGGGTTAATTCTCAGCCAGAGTTCAGAGGCAGATCAAGGAGGCACTATCAGCTGGGTGATAATTAAATGCACCTGAGCCTATTCAGACAGAATATATATATATATATATATATATATATTCACCCACAGTGAATACTCAAAGGGACTATACATCTTAAAGAACTCCAGTTACTATAATGTAAGTAATCTTCCTTGTCCTGCTGCCTTCTGCCCATGCAACTGCAAAGCAGTAAACACAGAAAGAATACTATTAAGCAAGATGGATTGCACCTCTTTTGAGCAAGTTCACTCTGAGCCTGTTGCCCTACCAAAACCCAGGCTGTGAGTTGGTGTTGTCCCCAATTTTGAGAGAGTAATGTGGTAAATGATTGCAGGTGAATGCATCTGCAGGGTCACTGCAGTAAACCAAAACAGATGGGGCCACCAGCTACCATGGTGCTATTAGAATTACCATCACTCTGTATTTTCTGGAGAACACATGGTCTGAGGGGAATGGGAGGGAAGGCATACATTAATGGTTCTGACCATGGGAATAGGAAGGCAACCTGTGTGGAGTCCAGACTGTGGCTGTTGCAAAAGCAATAAACTTGGCATTTCTTGTCTTGGGCGTCAAAGAGGCTGAGCCTATCTGCCAGGGAATTCGTAACTCCTAGAAGATGTACTGTGGAGAGAGTGATGCTGAGCTGGGTGCATCAGTTTCATAGCTGTACCACTTCCGTGGATAGTGGTGTGGACCTTGCTCCACCTTGCTTGTTTACATAATAAACAGTGGACATGCTGTCTGACCTGATACATACTCCAGTGGAACAGCTGATGGATAGGACAAACCTCGCAGACAAACCTGCTATAGCAGGTTAATGTGAAATGTGGACTCTTGTGGGGTCCATGAGCCTTGGGCTATGTGGTCATCCAGGTGTACTCCCCAAGTCAGGAGAGATGCATCAGGACTGAGTGTCATTGTGGAAGGAGAGTGAGCAAAAGGGATCCCTACACATGTTGTTCCTCTTTTCCCACTAGGTGAGACAGGCTCGAACTGGAAGTGGGGAGACCTTCTTTTCGAAGGAGTCCTTATTCGAAATATAGGCTGATTTTAACCAAGTCTGAAGACTTGGCAGGTGCCACCTGGTGAATGGGGTCACATAATGCACATTGCCACCTGCCCTCAAAGGTAGAAACCTGTCCTGTGATCAGTATATTTTGGTCATGATTGAATCCAGGGCTGCTCCAATACATTCTATAGTCCATGTAGGTGTTAAAGTGGACTTTCCTGGATTTATCTGAAATTCCAAGGACTGGCACAAGTTCAGGTCACTGCCATCTGTACTTCTTGGTAGGACCGATCCTTGAGAAGCCAGTCAACTAGGTAGGGAAATATGTAATAGATAAGTGGGTTCTTACCACTTCTATGGATTTTGTTAATATCCTTGGTGCATCTGATAGCCCAAAGGGAAGTAAATACTTTGAACTGTAAGTGGGACATGCCTATCATAAAGTGCAGAAATATCCTGAGGGTTGGGTGAATATTGGAGTGGAAACATTAGCCTGAGAGCGGCAAACCAGTCATGTTCATTGAGCAATGAGATTATGGCAGCCAACATAACCTTCCTGAATCTTATATTATGGATGAAGATGTTCAACTGTCTGAAGTCCAGGATTGGCCTCCAACCCCATCTTCTTTAGAAACAAGAAGTACCTGGAGAAAAAATTCTTTCCACTGTATTTGAAAGGTATAGGCTCAATGGCTCCTAGCTGGATCAATGAGTTTTTTCCCTGTTTTGAGAGTTCTCTCATGAGATGTCCCTGAAAAGGGAAGGGAGTTTGAGAGGTGGGGTTGACTGGAACTTGATGGTATAAGCCAGTAGAAATAATGTCCAGAATCAATCTGTTCAATCTGTTAAATCTGCCATCATGGAAGGAAATGGGCTAGGTGACTGCCAAACGGGGGTGAAGGTGGTACAAAAACAACTGGTTGACAGCTCTCGAGCAATTCAACAAAATGCCTTTTTAGAGGGCTGATGAGTCTGGGGAAGATGGTGACCATACAAAACTTGGGCTTGTGAATGAACCAATTGAGACGATGACACTGGTTCAAGATTGGTCTCCATCCACCTTTCATCTTGCGTACAAGGAAATATGTGAAATAGAATCCTATGGCCTGGTAAGTAATTGGAATGGGTTCTACTGCTACCATTTGAAGAAAAGAGTCCATCTCTAAGGCGAGGATACTGTTTGGCCCTCTCATCAATTAAAGTCCACCTGGCAGCCATCTCAGCCTTCCACTCTCCTGTTCAAGGTAGATCAGTCTTCTCCCACGACATGACAGTCAGGTTCCTAAAAGGTCTGGAGTGTCTTTACCGCCAAGGATTACAATAAGGCCAATTCATAGGCCATAGACCCTGCAGCCAGACACCCGCCAGCGGGCCGGTACGGCAGCCTGGCACCGGGGCCGAATGGTGTCCCTGGGCTGGACCTTGAAATCCTCTTCCGAGTCCGAGGAGCACTCCCTTTGGGACCAATGGTGCGCCGGTGCCTCCTGCTCTCAGCTATGGCATTGAGGGGAGTGAGATTCATAGAATCATAGAATATCAGGGTTGGAAGGGATCTCCTGAGGTCATCTAGACCAACCTCCTGCTCAAAGCAGGACCAATCCCCAACTAAATCATCCCAGCCAGGGCTTTGTCAAGCCTGACCTTAAAAACCTCTAAGGAAGGAGATTCCATCACCTCCCTAGGTAGCCCATTCCAGTGCTTCACACCCTCCTAGTGAAAAAGTTTTTCCTAATATCCAACGTAAACCTCCCCCACTACAACTTGAGACCATTACTCCTTGTTCTGTCATCTGCTACCACTGAGAACAGTCTAGATCCATCCTCTTTGGAACCCCCTTTCAGGCAGTTGAAAGCAGCTATCAAATCCCCCCTCATTCTACTCTTCTGCAGACTAAATAATCCCAGTTCCCTCAGCCTCTCCTCATAAGTCATTTACTCCAGCCTCCTAATAATTTTTGTTGCCCTCTGCTGGACTCTTTCCAATTTTTCCACATCCTTCTTGTAGTGTGGGGCCCAAAACTGGACATTGGTGCCGAGGAGCCGAGTCTTGTTGCTGTCGCAGTGACCAGAGTCTAGTCACCAGTGAGGTGTGCCGGGATAGGGGCAGAGGCAGTGGGGATTGGGAGCGGGTTGCCGGGGCTCGGTGCTGTGATGCCGAACAGTGTCATGAAGAGGTCCCTCGATACTGTGATGACCATGACTGGCTTCGGGGGGTACTGCATCTATCCCTTGGAGCCGGAAACCGGAATGTGCTACCGGAGACCATGAACTCCACACAGATGACCATGGGTGTGGAACCAGAGACCGGACTCGAAGACTGGTGAGGCTCTGGTGAGTGACGACCCCGAATTAGCCACTGGGGAGGCCCCATCTGTGGTTTGCCCTTAGGAGGAGGGACCTTTTATGGTTCTGTCTCTCATGGTGAGGGTGGTACTGGTAGGGCCTTTAAGTCTTTGGCCATTTGAAAGGCCTCTGGAATCGATGGCACCGTGAGGTTTCTGGGGCTCTTACAACTCCCAGGAGTAGGAGGAGGCTCTCGTATTGGACTTGGAGCCCTGGCCAGAGAGGGTGCACCCTGCAGTCCCGGTGCAGATGGGTGGCCCATCACGGGTCCTGTGCCCATTGCAACTTTCCTGGACTTTTTCTGGGATGGAGATCGGCCACGTTCATGCTGTTTGCCGCTAGTGTGCGGATCGCTGATTTGCATGTGTTTGTGGCAAACTGCACAGCTTGAAACCAGAGGACTGGAGCATGCCCTGTCCCAGGGACAAGTCCCTGAGGGGACCACTAACTAAACTAATGTACTAACTACTTAAAACACTATATAACAACTATGTAAACAGAAAACACAGCAAAAACTCTTGAAGAACTTTGCGAGATGCAAAGAAGAGGTATTCCAGAGACCGTCACAGGTGGTAAGAAGGAATTGAGAGGGTGCAGGGCCGATGGCGCCTAATATACCTGTGCATGAGAGCGGAGCTCCAGGGAGCACCAGAGCCGGCCATACGGATACCGCTGACACAAAAATCTCTGGCAGCCATGCACATGGGCGCGCACACACCTAGCATGGAATCAACATGAGCAACCACTCGAAGAACTACTGGCGGATTCAGCAGTCTGTGCGACTTCTTTTGTTTGTGAGCCTTGGAATGAACCGCTTCTCCATGGCTGGAACTTGTGGAAAGTACATAGTCTTCCTCCAGGTCCAAGAAAGACATACTGCCATGCTTATGTGCATGCTTCTGTGCCTCACAACCAAGCTCTGGCAAGGGTACGTAATACTGGTACTGGCAGTACTGGCCTGAGTCTCCGTGGTAGGAGGCGAGCTCCTGGATTTCTCAGGCTGGCATACAGGGGAGGTTCCCCAGCCTGGGTTTGACTGTGGCCTCATGGTGACCTCGATGAGGTGCTTTTGAAGCCAGAGAGCTCGGCCTTTCTGGATATGGCTTGGGAAGGATGAAATGTGGGCTTCTCCCAAACAGTAAATGCAGTGTTGGTGCTCCTTGCTGTCCGAGAAAGAGCATGGGCAGGATACACATAGCTTGAACCCCAGCATCT